TGTGTGCTGGGGCCTGGATTTGCCTGCTCAGCACAGTTGTCCAGCAGACAGAAATTACCAGAGAGAGTTCCAACAGTCTGTGGTCAGTCAGTGTCAGGGGACTTGTCCAGAGGCCACCTTGGACTTCAGGCATCAGGTCTGTATGGCTCACTGTGTGTGTCTAGCACTTAATGTAGCTTCCAACACCAAGAAAAACTATTTGAAAAATGAATGAGTGGCTTGCTGAATTCAAATATGAATGAATCAATATTTAAGGGCATAAAACAAGGGAGCCATTACCAAGGGCCAGAAGAGGCCACTACAGGAATAGCTTCAAAAAAGTTATTTAAGTTATATTTATTGGAAAGGCAGAGTTTACAGAGAGAAGGATAGAACAGAAAGATCCTCCATCTGCTGGTTCACCCCCAAAATGGCCCCAACAGCTCCAGCTGAGCCAATCCAAAACCAGGAGCCTCCTCTGGGTCTCCCACACAGGTGCAGGGTCCCAAGGACCTAGGCCATCCTAAGCCTGCTTTCCCAGGCTACAAACAGGGAGCCAGAAAGGAAACGGAGCAGCTGGGACACGAAAGTGCCCTTATGGGATTCCAGCACATGCAAGGTGAGGACCCAGGCACTAACCCATTGCACCAGGCCCCAGAGACAACTTCTAAAATGAAACTTGAAACTTGCTGCCAGGTACAAGCACCCAAGTAGGAATGAGGAAGAGTTACCAGCACTTACATGGCACTTGTCCCAAGCCAAGCACTGTTTAGTTCTCAAGGCAATCTTTCGGCCTTGTTTCTGTAATCATCCCAATTCTCAGATACAGAAATCTTGGCACAGAACAATTAAGAATATTTTCAGGGGCCAGTGTTGTGCTGCAGTGGGCTGGACTGCCACTTGGGAGGCCAGCATCTGGCATCAGAGCACCAGGTCGAATCCCAGCTGCTCCATTTCCAATCTAGCTTCCTGCTCAAGCACCCAGGAAGGCAGCAGGTGATGGCCTGGGTGCTTGAGCCCCTGCCACACATGTGGGAAGCCTGGATAGAGTTCCAGGCTCCAGACTTCAGCCTGGCCCCATGTGGCTTTTCTAGTCATTTGACAGGTAAGACAGCAAAAGCAAGTTCATTCTCTCCCTCCTTCCCTTCCTCCCTTCCTCCCTCCTTCCCTCTTTCTCTCCTTCCCTCTTTCCCTACCTGCCTTCTTCCCTCTCCCCTCTGCGTGTGTGTGTCCTTCTGTCTGTCACATTTTCAAATCTTTTTTCTTTAATACCCAAAGTAATGCTCACTAGTTGTATGACTTTGGAGGAAAAAAAAAACCCACAAGTGACTAAGCCAATATTGCTTGACTTCAAATGTCAAATATTTAACCTCTGCCTGGGACCAGTCTTGTTAGAGAAAATCCCAGCCAGAGAGCAAAGGGGCAGAGCACGTTTGAGATGCCAGATGTTTACTGCAGACCAAGCAGAAGCCCCATGGAGGGAGGAGGATGCAGGATGCAAGCAGGAAAGATGGCAGGTCCCAGGAGCTAGGCAAGACACGCAGAGGGAATTGGCCCTGTCCCAGGGCAGCAGCAGCCCCAGAAGTGCCTGGAGAAGAGGCCATGCTGCAACAGCTGCAGGACCAAAGAGGGGGCTTGGGAAAACCAGGACGGGGTCCAGGGCCTTGGGGAAGCTGCTTTATTCTGCCAGAAGAGCTGGACTCCACATTTGGAAGCATGGGGTGTGGGGAAGGGAAGGTTGCATATGACTCTCCAGGGCCTCTGGCTTGCAGAGCTGAGTAGACACTGGCATTTCGTTAAGTAGGGAGCCGGTGAATGGGCACGAAAGTGATTAAGTTTGTGGGGTTCACATTGCCCAGTGTGGCTTTGTGTGTCTTCCTGAGAAAGACTAGCACCCTGGGTCTGGGACCCCACTCCTGGGACCAAGAGGGTGAAGTAGGATGATGAGTCAGGATGAAGTCAGAAGTGGATGGGGTGCTAGGAACTAGAGCCATAGCTGGAGGTGGGAGAACTGGAACCCCAAATAGGCTCATGCCACTGGACAGCCAGCAGCACCAGGGTAGGAGGGAGGTACAGAGTCTCAGCCCAGCCCCAGCCCCAGCCCTCCCTGACCTCACTTTCATCTCTTCTGTCTCTTGACTCCCCTCCTCAGGAGTGTGAGGGGTGGGTGTGGCTGGTCCTGCAGGAGCCCCCTGAGGCCCGAGGGCACTGATGGTATGTTTTCTCCAAAGCCTTTCTGACTGCGGTGCTCCGAGACTACGGGAGGGCTCAGGGCATCTCAGCCGACGCCCTGACCTTTACCCACCACGTGATTCCCAATGACGACACCACCAGTGACCAGGAGCTCTCCCCAGTCGTCCAGAGGGAGCTGGACAAAGTCAAGAGAGCCTTTAAGGTACGGAGTTCTTGAAAAGACAGGGAAGGGATAATCACTCGTTGGTCTGGTCATCCATTCCCCAAGCTTTGTCCCAGGCACAAAACTTCTGTTTGGCAAAGGCAAATCACCATCATGGGGTACTGGCACCTGTTGGGGTACTGGCAGCGCAGTCTCCTTTTTGTTATTTAAAATGCCTGAGCCTCACTCAAGAAAAGGCAGAGCACTCCTGAGCAGCACAAGCGGTCCTAGGGGGTGGTCCTCCAGGGTGGGCATCCACCAGGGCTCACCTGGAGCAGAATGTGGGGGTTCCCCTGCCCACCCACAGTCAGCGTTGGGCTCATCGCAAACTGAATACACAAAGTACCTCAAAAGGTCACAGAAGTGGAACTAAAAGGTAAGTTTGTTTTGATGCAAAAATCCCTGCACCTATTTTCCATGAACTAGACCCCTTTGCAATCTGAGTAACGTTCCCAAGGCCCAAGAGTCCCCAGAGACCGCCCCACCACCACCACCGTTGGGGCTGGCACTGCTGCAGTCCCGGCAGGTGCTGACTGCTTGTGGCACTGCTGTCACTCCCTCCTCCAAAAGCTTGGCGTTTTCCTGCTCGAAATGGCCTGTCACTTCAGGATCTGCTTGGTGCCCATGTAGGGGAAGCAGAAAGGATTCAACTAGGACTCAGAGACAACACACCTTGGGTGGAGATGGGCCTGTGTGAGGAGGCAGTCCAGGCGGGCAACTTCTTGCCTTGAGAACCTCTGCCTCCATTTCCCCTCCTCCTCAGGGCCCAAGCCCACCTGGCAATGGGGTCCATGTATTCGGCTTATTCCTCGAGGGAGCAAGGTGGAACCCTGAAGAAAAAACGCTGGAAGACTCGCTGCCTCTTGAGATGTGCTGTGATTTCCCAGACATATACTTTTTGCCGACCAAGGTAACTGGTCAGCCGTGTATCAGAAACTGCTAGACCACCAAGCCGTCCCTCAGGAACACAGGACCCATTCTGGTTCCTGTTTCCCACAGCTGCACAAGGGAGGGTTGATCTATTTCAGGTAACAAGCAACATTTTTAATGAATCCCCAAATGGGGTGGCTGTGGGGAGTGTAGCTACACCTGGAATGCTGGCTTCCCGCATCAGAGCACTGGTGCGAGTCGCAGCCCCTCTGCGTTAGATCCCTGTTGACACTCCCGGGGAGGAAACAGAAGATGGTCCAAGTGCATGGGGCCCCTGCCACTCACATGGAAGACCTGGGTAATTTCAGACTCCTGGTTCAGACCATTTAGGAAGTGCACCAGCAGACGTAGCATCTTTGGCATTCTTTCAATCTTAAAAAAAAAAAAAAATTAAAAGCCTAAAATACAGCTCAAATCCAAAATAGAAGCTGTGCTTAAAGCCATTATGACTACTCAGGAATATACTCATAAAGTTATGATCATCTTTGTTTTCGAAGATATATCTTAACAGCAGTTGAAAGAGAGGTCTCTCATTTGCTGGTTCACTCCCCCAACTGATTGCAATGGCCTGGATCAGGTATGCCATATGGGTGGCAGAGGCGCAGCTCTTGAGCCATCCTCCAGTTTTCCCAGGCACCTTAGTAGAGCTGGATGGGAAGTTGGTCATGTGGGATGCCAGCAACGCAGGTGCCAGCTGAACCTGTGGCACCACAAATGCCTACTTCCATAATACTGCTGAACATTCCCCAGACATGATTTCCATATGTACTTACCATATTATAACAAATGAACAATCTTGTAACAAATTCCCTAAACCTACCTTATGCAAAACACAAGATACTGGTTTGCATGAACTACATAATTTGACTATTGGACTTTTTTCTTTTAAAAGATTTCTACAGAAACAGCAGATTCTTCAGGGCAAATGGATGCAGAGCGGTGTACTTTTGAATGCCCAGTTTACCAGACACTTAAGAGGTCCAAAGTTTTGACTACTGGTTCCCCAACTAACTTTGTAACTTCAGTGTATTTGCCAACAAAGAAACCTTCCAATCACTGGATCACAATGCAGGTTGCCTTACTGTGTGAGAATGAATGAAAAATAAACTTTGTAGTGGCAAACCATTTGAACTTTGACTCTAACAAGATTTGCATGTTTCAAGGTAGTTGGCACACTCCAGGAGAGCAGTAGTGAGTTCAGCCAGGCTGGACCCATGCAGTGTATATGAAACCTTCCCACAAAAGCAGTACTGTTCACCTTTGCCTTGGGAACCATGGCCCTAAAGGTAAGACCATTGTGTTTTAAGAACCATGACAGAAAAGAAGTGCAAAGATCTAATCCTGTCAGTGGCTATGTATGTGTGTGAAGTCTTGGTCCTTAGTGTCTTGTGTTCATGAATAGGTTAAGGACAATCTTTAAAAAAAATTGTCTTTAATTGTAAAGTCAGATTTACAGAGGAGAGGAAGATCTTCTGTCCATTGGTTCACCCCCCAAGTGACAGAATTTTAATCCAGTTATGGTGCCTGGCCTTGGTACCTTTTGGGAATTAATTCCGTTTCAGGGGTGGAGCCCTGGTCCTGGTGTTCCCATCCCTTGTTGCTTCCCAGTGAAGACTCCTTGTGGGTGCAGGAGCCACAGCAAGGTCATCTACAGGCGTCTGTCTGAAACCCACCTTGAAATAAGGCTCCAAGGTGATCAAAGCAACATTTTTATTTGCAACTTTATTTCTCACTTAAAAAGCTTGTCAAAACTAAAAACCAACTGTAGCGGAGATCCAGAAATGGCAGCATGGTGTTAACAGGCTCTCTGTTACCAGGGAAGGAATTTAATATCCTTGTCTTCTGTCAAAGCATCCTTGATGAGTTTGGTCCAGAACATGCTGGGATATCCCTTTCCAATGCCCCAAGAAAAGCATAAAACAGCTGCTTGCATATATTGGTACAGATAAATCGCCGACAATGTCACCAAAACAACGTTTGGGGATTGTAAGATGCAGACTGCTAGAGCAAGCCAACGTCATGATCACATTTACATAAGGTAAGTTACATACACTTCAAATGGCAGTGCAGGATGAACATTGCATATCCCAACGGCTCATACAGAAAATTAAAAAACCCCACATACACTATGTATTATGCTCCCCTTTCTGTAAAAGATACTGAGAGCAATTTAACTCTCAATGTAAAAGTTAAGTGAATTTGCTACTGTTCCATTAGATTGAGACTGCATCAACTTTACCAGAATTTAATAGATGTACATAAGGTAGCTTTAACTATTAAACTTACAAGACCAAAGTGACTTAAAACTAACCTCTTACATAGACAGTAAATATAAAGAATTTACAAAATACAGTATAAACTGCATGAGTTAAACAGTAGCAAAAACACTGAATTTAAAAAGTCAAAAAGGTATAAAAATATTAGCCTGAAATGGCAAAATTTTCAAATACCAATGTGTGTAAAAATGTTTAAATAATGATGTTACTTGAAAAATATATTTTTTTATTTTTTTCTATCTGCAACAGTTATTATAAAGGCAAACACACCTGCAATTGAGGTAGCAAAGCCGAATTCACAAACTTTGGAACAAGAAAAATATCCTTCCTATGTTTTAACAGCATCTTCTATACAATATGAATTGTAATTGCTTCAAATTTGTAAATTCACAAGTTATTCTATAAAACAATTTAAAATACTGAAAATGCTTTTGTTAAAGATCTTTAGTCCTGACAATCATCTCACATTCAAAATACTATACAGAAAAATCTGAAGTTACCATATATTACATAAAAGTATATGCTCTATTTACATTTTCAAATGCAGTTCTAGAAGCTGAAGTTAAGCTAACTACTACCAATGGTTTCCTTTAAACAATGTTTACTAATATCTCGCATCACTTTTCACATATAGGATTCAGCAGACCAGTTTTTAAATTTAAATCACATAATAGATGAATAAAAATGCTATTAATGCAATAAAATGTACATGTTTAATGTAACAATGTTTTTATGGAAAACCTAGCAAAAGTAAATTTTGAAGTAAATCAAAAACCAGAAAGATATTCAAGTGCATTTATAAGACTTTTGTTTTTAGATTTTTAAGGATTGAAAATTTCCCATAAAATGCTATCATTTTGTATTTTTCCTGTTAAAAATTTTAATACAGCTATAATCTAACATCTGCTACTTGGCTCTATAATCCTGTCTCAAAAAAACACAGAGCCCCTCAGTGCAACAAAACAAAGTTCATTTTGGAATTTGTTTTCTTTGTAAATGGAGGCCAGAATCACAGGCGCTTTGGAGTCTCCAAGCGGACTCAGTAAACGTACGGCACGATCCGGTAGGGCACGCGCTGGCAGTACTTCTCCCAGGCCAAGCCGTACTTCCTCCTGCAGCAGCGCTCGTCACGGGCCTCACGGTGCACAAGCAGGATGGTGAAGTAAATGACGTAGAAATAAGGCAGAACGTGATTAAAGCCTGTGGTGGAAACCGTACACAAGTCAGAGCCTGGGAGTATCTAACAACAAACCTAACGTTTCTACACTTTCTCCCACCGTGGGGAAAATAGCTCCCTAAACCCCTACAGCTGTGCTGCAAAGGAAAGCATCCAGAGGAGAGGCCCAGGGCCAGCCCGACACGCCTGCACTGTCAGGACCCTAGTCAACAAGGGAAACCCAGAGCTCTCCCAGCCTGCTGGCCGCCTAGACCCAGCACAACAGGGAACCAGAGAAGTCAAGCCTCCTGCTGTTCCTCAAAGGCTCCAAGCAGAATCTTAAATAACAAGCAGGTCACATTCTGCTTAGAGAAGGCTGCCAGGCGCAGGTAAGAGTTACTTTTTTTAGCAATCTAAAATAAAACTGCAGGCTCTGTAACTTCTGAGGCTCCCACCCTTACAGAGCAGCATCCCAAGGAGGGCGGGTGTCTGCCATGGCCAGCCACAACCACCGCAGGAAGACAGGCTCACGCCAAACCCCGGCTGCCCTGTACCAACACACACAACTCCTTCAGGGAACACTTACCACAAGGGAGAGACCATGCCAGGGCCATGATGAGATCGCCCAAGTAATTGGGGTGGCGAACAAAGCCCCACCAGCCAGAGACAAGAAGACTTTTCCCAGTTGCAGTGTGAATTGTTTTTAAATCTAATATAAAAACAAAACAAAACTTGTAATGACCTCTAAACAGAGACAAAATCATGAATATAAACATAAACCAATACTTACGTGCCAGCTTGGGATCAGCAGGGTTTTTCCGGAATGCATTTTTCTGAGAATTTGCACATCGGAAGATTACATACCCCGAAACTGTAATTTAAAAACATTTTTCTATGTTATTAGCAATTTAGATGTAATCTTGAAATCATAGTTTCTAAGAGATTGCTTGAAAAGGACACAAACAAGAGTATATTTTCCTAACAGCAACTTAAAATCTCTTAACCAGGTTCAGTGCAATAGCCTAGTGGCTAAATCCTCATCTTGCACACCAGGGATTCCATATGGGCGCCAGTTTATGTCCTGGCTATAACACATCCCATCCAGCGCCCTGCTTGTGGCCCAGGAAAGCAGTTGAGGATGGCCCAAAACCTTGGGACCCTGCACCTGTGGGGGAAGACCTGGAAGAGGCTCCAGGCTCCTGAACGATTAGGCTCCAGCCATTGCGGCCACTAAAAGAGTGAAGATCTTTGCCTTTTTTAATTGGAAAGGCAGATTTACAGTGATAAAAAGAAAAAAAATGCTTCACCCCAGAATAACACTTCTGAAGTCCCGACTGTCGCCAAAGCTCGCCAAACTCTGAGAAATAACAGCACAATTGTATTGGTGCGGCCAGGATTTGTTCGGATCCCAGCCGCAGCATGCACGTGTGGGTGAGGCCCTGTGGTGTCAGCATCAGAGCATCTAACTGCTGCCCCGATTTGTCACTAATCCTGTTAGTGACTGGCTCTGCCCCACACCACAAACTCATGCTCGTGAACCCCACGGGGGCACAGCCGATGCGGATAAGCAGGGCTGAAGCTGAATTCATTTTACAAGCAGCTTCACTTTGCCCTCTCAGGTGCTGGCTACTGCAGCCAAACTAGGTACAGCGCTCCGTATTTTGGTTTCAATGTACATTTTCTCCACTCAGCCTCTGGTGGAGGTGTTTAACAGTGTAATATGAAAGGATTTAAAACCACAAAGGGGCTGACGCTCGGGGACGTGAGCCCCGGCCACATGGCGGCCGGGGTCCCCAGGCGCAATCCAGCTTGTCTCCTGGGAAGCAACCCACAGTCTTCACGCTCCCTCGGAAGACTGTTTCGGGGCGGCCAGCAGGCGGAGCCTGGCGCCAACTGGCGCACTGGCCGCCCGGCCAGGGAGCCCTGAGAAATTGGTTCTCTGCTGCTCAAGACAGCTTCATGCTAAAACTCGGTGTTTTGGGGACACCAAGCAACCCTAAAGATTTCCAATGTCTGTAAATCTCCCTCAGACGAATCTGCTGCTATCATGGTTTCACTCCATAAGTTCCGAATGATTGTAACTCCCTATATAATGCCAATTCCTTACGATACACAGTAACTGAGTGGGAACACAGAGAAATCTCTCATTTCCCTTGAAATAGCTAGGAATCCACGTAGTGTAACCTGCAGGAACTGGATAAGTATCTTAAAGTTGATAGATCCAGATCAGCATTAGACAATAGCAAAAGCTACAATGACACACAGGGGGAATTAGGAACGACCCAAACAGTCTATTAACTGGTGGCCATATGCACAGAAGAGGGGAGAACACCAGAGCGGAACAGAGGGACTGGAGGAGGCTTATCCCCCACCCACAAGGACTCCTGGACTCCTACCAAGGTCTAGCAGAACGGACACAAGAACGTCAACACAACTGCCAAAGAGAACACGGGGATCTGGAATGCCTCCGAATGCTGTGAACCCAGAGGACAGACATCCCCCCTCTTTGGACAAACTACACGAGATGGAAGAAGCCCAAGTCCTTCCACATAGGAACTAACGACATCAGAACAACAGCCAGGAACCACGATCGGCCATCAGAATCAGAAGATCAATAAACTTCCGGCGGGACAATGGGGGGGGAATCTTCTCCAGTCCTTACCTAGTTCCAACTCTGGGCCTCCACCTCCTATAATGACCAACAAGGTTCCTCCTAACCCCCCTGCCCCCCTTCACACACACACACACTCATATACACACACTAATAGGATGAGATAACCAAAGAACAATAAAGATAGGTCATCAAGGACTCACTCATGTACTATTAGATGGAACATAAAGAACAAGTACCCATCAGCAAGGTATGAGAGATTTCTCTGCAACATCCCCCAAAATCGTTGCACACCTCAATTGAGGAGGTGACATTGAAATAGTTGTAGAAGGCAGTCAAGAACTTACATGTAATTTTAACATATTGTCTACTCAATATTATGTCAGACATCTAATATTTGCCTTGATTTAACCTGTAATTTATGCTTGGTTGATTGTTACTTTTTGAACCTGTCACTGATACTGTCTAAACCCAGATGTTTTGAAGAATTGAACTTTTTTTTTTTTTAAAACAAATTGTTCACTCAATACTATGCCAATTAATTCCATAACATTGTATATTCACGCTGATGTTTTGTTGGGGGTTTTAACTGACCGGAACTTTACTCTGTTAGCCCTACCTTCAGACCAGAGAAGGCCTTCCCAAGAGACCACTGAACTTATCTGGACAATAAGACGCTGGACTTTATGCTAGGTATATGCTTGCAATGAAGGAATTTCAACTGAACTTGAACCGCGGTTATGCAGCAAGGTGGAGCAATCCACTATGGGGGGAGGGGTGGGGGAACTCCCCAGTGCTTATAAAACTGTATCACATAATACAATGTTAATAACAAAACAACAACAAAAAAAAACCACAGACGCCCTGAGCCTCAGCCATGGTCAGAGTGGACTCGCCTTTCTGCCCACGCTCAGCTCACGCCGCCCCGCTGGGCCCTGCTGAGCTGCCACCTGCCGCGTCGGCCCCGTGCCTCTCAGCTTCACTCACTCTCCTCCCCTCATGTTGCGGCCGTGGGCCATTTCTCCTGCTGGAATGCAAGCCCCATGAAGCAACAGCAAAGCTTCCTGCTGGGAAAGCAGGCACTCAATGGTGAATGGTCTGGGAAACAATTGCATTTGTTAATTTTAAAATATGGTTTAAAACTTATCCTATTTAAAGCACTACTACAGAAGCCAAGTGTGAACCATGTGTTCTCTTTGCAAGAGGCTCACCATCCCAATGACTTTACTCTGGAACTAATTATGACCACTTGCTCGGCATGTTAAGAGGCCGACAGCAGAGGTGGGCCTTTGATGTGCCGGTTAGGACGCCTGCATCCCCTGGAAGTGCCACACCACTCCGCCGCCTCAGGCACACTCTGGAAGGCTGTGATGGCTCCAGTGCGATCCCTCCCTCCCGCGTGGGACATCTAGACTGATGCCGGTGTTTGCCTCAGTGGGGGCTGTCCCAGGCATCTGAGAGAGGAGCCACGGGGTTGTTGGGAGCTCTGCCTGCTTCTCACTGAGTGCCTCGCATTTACACGAAGTTAGATATCAGAACACAACAGACTCCGTGCAGGCTGAAATACATACTCACGTTTCAGAACGATAATGAAAGAAGCCACTGGCCAAGACACTTCATTAGGATGATGGACTAAGTAAAAAGCTTGAAAGCTGTAGATAAATGGAACCCACACCAAATCTCCAAAAGCCAGCATGAAGCCGAAGCCATCACGGATGATATCCATGGTCGTCAGTACCGCTTCCTGTAGGAGAATCAAGCAGGTCAGCCTGTTTCAGTCAAATGCATAAAGGGCCATAAATGCCAATACCACCCACAAGTTTTTTTAAGCTGGGGAGGGTCTGGCTCCCTTGGCCTGTTCCCCACTACTCATTCTGCTGGCACACTGTTCTGTTGCTCTGCCACCCTCTGCCAGGCACCCTCCTCCAGTCATTCTTCCTGCCGGGCCAGCGGCCTCTCAAAGGCAGGGACTGCCTGGTTGCCCCTGGCAGAACACCTGCAATGGAGCAGAATGTGTTCACACTGTTTTGCTGAAGGAGTGATGAGGCCACCAGTTCCCACTGCTTCTGTTCCATGCGCCCTGACCCAACATCCTCATCTTTTTGTGCAAAGTTTCCAATGAGCTGCCTGGCAACATGGACAGCCTGGCTGCTCACAGGAAGTGAACAAAGGGCATCATTGCTCTTTCAGCATCTGGCCAGCAGGAGTCCTTGGCAGGTTCCTCTGGACCTGGATCCTTGCAGACAGCACCCAGGGGAACATTTCTGAGGCCTGGCTGGCAGTATCTCTGCCTCCAGGGTTTGCCACCAAAGGGGAAGAGTCCATTAGTGAAGGCCCTGTGAGGACTCAAGCTCCAAGTTAAGGAAAAGGAGTGATACCTGCAGACTTTGTCTCCCAAGCAAGAAACCGAACTTATCATAGGACAGACAGCACAGGAAACACAACAGTGGTCTGTCTGCAGTCAATGGGGTGCCTGCTGCTCTGACCCCCTGAGACAGGACTGCTTCAGCAGGAGCATGTGGGAGTGGGCACTCAGGGGACATGATGCCAGGCCTGCTGCAGGACATCTGTAAAACAGGCAAAAACTTTGCCTAACAAAGTTACTGTGCATCTGCTAACTACTAAGTGGCAGGCCAATCCTATGCAAAATCCTAAGTCAGTCCCAGCCTCAAGAAGTTGATTACAACTTGGCTGTCTCTGGCGGCATACAGAAAACTTGTCAATTCCAAACCCCTACCTGAGACAGAGCTCTATCACCTCGAGTTCTGCCTCTAGCACCAAGTATTCTCTGTTAATAGGGGTCAACATGTGGTTAAATCCAAAGAATATATATAATGTAAATCTACAGAATATTTTTAAACCAACTACATGATCAAAAGCCAACAGAGAAACCAGAAGCAGCAGTCATGAATAACTGGAGAGGTACTAAAAAAGAAGGCTTCAGAACTTCTTGAAGTAGTGAATTAACATTTGATGGGTGGCATGTAGCCTACGTATTCTTAAGGAGTTGTTCTATTAGAGCAGACAGATTTACGGAGGGCAGAGACTGGTTTCATCTCAAGGCATGTGTAATTTCTATAGGATTTTGGTGTCAGATACTACCACCACCACACCCGCTCCATGCCAAGAAGCCAACGATGATGAAGCGGGAGGTGTATGGTAAGACACTAGACAGGGCCCAGCGGCGTGGTCTAGTGGCTAAAGTCCTCGCCTTGATCCCGCGCCAGGATCCCATATGGGCGCCGGTTCTAATCCTGGCAGCTCCACTTCCACTTCCCATTCAGCTCCCTGCTTGTGGCCTACGAAAGCAGTCGAGGACGGCCCAAAACCTTAGGACCCTGCACCCGCGTGGGAGACCCAGAAAGAAGTTCCTGGCTCCTGGCTCCAGATCGGCACAGCACCGGCCCGTTGCGCTCACTTGGGGAGTGAATCATCAGACGGAAGATCTTCCTCTCTACCCCTCCTCCTCTCTGTATATCTGACTTTGTAATAAAAATAAAATAAATCTTTTTAAAAGCACTAGGCAGGAGTGTGGGTGGGGCTCAGCGGTTAAGTCACGGCGTGGGGTGTCTGCATTCCACACAGAAGAATGCCATCACTCTGATATAGCATGCTCTAGGAGGCAGCAGATGATGTTTTGCATGTGTGAGACCTGCCACACATACAGGAACCCAGACAGGCTTCACAATTCTGGCTTCAGCCTGGCCTTTTGGGGAGTGAATCAGTGGCTGGAAGGTCTGTCTCTGTCACTGCTTTTCAAATAATAAAAAAGCAAGTTGTTGAAACTTTTTTTTAGGGGTCACAGCTGTGGTTCTGTAGAACAGTAGACTGTTCTACTTTCCAATCCAGCTGCCTGTTAGTGAGCCTGGAACACAGAGCAATATGGCCCATGTCCTGGGACCCCTGCCAGTCACATGGGAAACAGGAGTTTCCAGCTCCTGGCTTTGGTCTGGCCCAATCCTGCCATTGACATCATCTGGAGAGAGAACCAGCAGATGAAAGGTCTCTCTCTGTCACTCCCTCTCTAACCCTGCGTTTTTAATAAATGACCCTTCAAAAAAAAACACTTTTTAAAAGAATCTGAGGTCAGCAAATTGTGAACACAACCTGGCTACTTGTAATTACGACGGTTTACCCTAGAGAAGTCTTCACCACTCAGGGAATAAGAGTCCTTGAAATACCAACACAAACTCATCAGATCACCCCAAGTCTGCGCCACGGTCCTATACCAAGGTCACACCTCAAGACAGGGCTCAGGGACAGAAAGTCCTGACGACCACATCATGCAGCTTATCAAAAAGCCTCAGACTCAAGAAGACAACCGACCCGAAGAAATGATCTTTAAAAGGACTAAGTCTAGTTTCAACACAGGAAAATCTGCAAAAATGTTTGACATTTCAGTGTATGTACATAATGACCCAAGGTATGAGAAAAGCCATGAGTTGGAAACAATTTTATTTTGCTGTGCTAATTGTATCTTAATTTCTGATTAGAATGAATCTCCAACTGATTAGTCACTTCTAAGTTTTACATAGTTACACTCACAAGACTTACAACCCACCAACCTTCACTATTTGGAATGCTACTTTGCTACTTTATTGACTCAATAAAATGTATTTTTACTTGAAAAACAGATATCCAGCTCCCACCCTCTGCTTCAGCTGGACCAGAATGAAGCCAGGAGTCAAGAACTAAATTCAGGTTTCTCACATAGATGGCAGTGCCCCGCCCACTTGAGCCATCACCTGCTGCCACCCAGAGTGCACATGAGCAGAAAGCTGGCATCAGCAGAATTGGAACTGGATCCTAGACACTCCAATATGAAATGCAGAGACACATTCCCAATTGGTATGAGCCGTGACACCAAACATCCGTTCCCACAGTTGGTGATAACCTGGAAGCAAGAGCCAGTGCCAGGGACCCTGGTGCCTATCCCCGTGGGTGCCATCTCCTATCATCTGACAGTCCCCTCCCTGCCCACCCGAGAGGGCCTTCAGTCTCATCTCTAAACCCACACTCCAAAGCCACCTGACCCCAGATCCTCAACTCTTAATTACCTCATTCCAGAGAGCATCTACCACATACAAGAGCTGGAAACCGTTGACCAAGATCATTGCCAAGGATGGTGTGGTACGGTTGTATAATTTCATTTCAGTCAAAAGCAACGCCAAGTTAATGAGCACCTAAAAAAAGAGGGGAGAGAATAGAATCCCAAAGTCCCTAATAAAGACATCATAAACCTCTGGAAAATATTTAATGAAAATAAGTAGACTGATTTATGGAAAGCCCTAATTATTCCTTAAAATACTTTTAAGGAGTCTGATTTCTTTCTAAATGCAATATTTGTATTAACAAATTTTAAAAAACAAAAAAATACAACGTACCCATCCAATCAATCCAGGGCGTAATTCACAAAAGTATTTGAGATCAAAAGTACCAATTCGAGGATTTAATTCACGGCCAATGAAGAAATCATAGACAGCATTTCCTGAGAAGGGAAAAGTTGTTACTCAAATGGCGTTCCAAACCCAGTCCTGCCCGAGGCTTTCAAACTGTCCTGCTGCCTAGAAGCCAGGATGACACTCCAAATACCTGCGGGGCGCTGGAGAGAGCTCGGGCGGGGAGAGATGAGGCCACCCCATTGCCAGGGCAGCTGCAGCAGCCTTGGGGGACCCAGGGGCCTAAATGCCCCCAACTTAAAGGAAACTGGAAGGTTTTTTCCTAAAGCACACTTAAAACTTTTAAATAAGCAATTTTTTTTTAAATGACCAATTTTTTAAGGTCAGAATCCACCAATCTGTAACCTCTATTTTGACATAAAAACGGTATTTCTCATGTTGTGATGATATGTTTATTAAAATATCTACTGTCATCACTTAACTAAAAAAGGAAGAGAAAAGGCACAATATGAGGGAGGGAAATGAAAAACATCTTCCTCCTCTACATTTTTCCTTCATCTTTCCACTTTTGTTTTTCTCATCGTTTCCCATCTAATGAAGCTAGGAAATGAAGCAGTCTATTCAGGTTTGGGAATGGTTGCCCGGGGATTCTGGGGTACACACAGCCCACCAGGCAACTGTCCGCTGCTCACCAGAGCTGTTGGGCGACAGTTCCTCCCTGGGCGCCTTCAGAGAGCGTGCGTAGAGATAAACACTCAGGAGCACAGAGAACACCGTCGCTGCAAGGGTGAACTGCAGGAAGTGATTGTACAGGTAACGCAGCTCTATGCCCCAGAAGAGGCATGCACCAACGCCTGCAGAGGTCAGGAGAAACGCATAGAATCCTTAAAAAGAAAAAGCAGAAATGGAGTGTTAACACAGGGTCCACATGATTCATACTTGCATTATTCACACTCAATAGAAACATGCAAATAAGCAATCCCCATATGCTACAATATACCGTTGATGCTCAGGAGGCCAGACATATAAAATGTATTTTCAACTTACAAGGGGTTCATCGGGACCTAGACCCGTCATAAGGAGCATGTGCAATGCAACTCCAGAAAAGGAAAACACTCCATCTAGTAAAGTGGAAAACCACTTAAAGGATAGCTACAACACTGACATCTTAAAATCATCCTCCATGTTTTCAAATTGCAATCGCACAGACCCCGAGCACACTCTGCCCATAGGAAGAGACGAGACTACCAGGGCAGCACCCGTCTGCCCCTAGCAAGGACCCACTGCAGCCACTCAACACACATCAAGAGCATCTGCTCACATCAGGCGGCATCCTGGCACCAGGGCACAGGAAGAACACCAGCAAGTCCCAGCCACCACGTGCCATTCCAGTGGGGATGGCAGAAGAAAAAGAGGAGTTGATGGCCGCTCGAGCACAGCCGTGACAGTGGGGAAGCAGCAGCTATCAGGCACTGTGTGGGCAAGCTCTCAGGCCAAGGGGGAGTCGGACACTGCTTCCAGAGCAGACCCGGCCAGGGAGCGAGGGTCCCTGAGGGTGTGTGTCCAGGACGGTGTTGGGCTTCCCAGGCTGGGAGGGCCTCAAGATGGTCAAACCTAGGCAGTAGTGTTTCCCACAGGGATCAATGCTAGCTGTCGGGTCCACAGTGTGGCTGCATGCCCTTCCATCTAATGAGAGATGATTCACAATCGGTTACTCTACTGTAACTAGCCTACAAAGTTTAAATGGTATACCAACCAAAGTTTAACCTATGAAATCACTGAATAAAGTCTTAAAAAAAACTTAAAAATCACCATTTAATCTATACTTCAGTCTTCTTCCATTAATAAGAGGCGTTCCTTCTACGACCTTGAAAGAAAGAAAAAAAAAATTTAATTTGAAAACACATCGCCATTATGTATATGCTATATCATATATAAATGTCTTTTACTATTTCATCATGTCTAAGAGAAAGGGTATCTTCTGGTGAGGAAATGTAGAAATATGTTTCAAAAATCTCAGTGACATGCCTCTGATGAAACAATCCCACCTTCCAAAATGTTTCTGAAATGTAAATTTAGCCACAACTTGACAATGTACCAAACCTGCTACTCCAGCCGTGCTCCCCTGTACCAGCACGAGACTAGATATGGACTTCGAATCCCTTTGTACTTAGTCACCTTTGGCTCAAGTCTTCAGTGGCTTCCCTCCGCTCTATCCCACTAGCAAGGTTCTTTCCAGGAGGGCCTGCCTGCCTTAGGGAATCCGCTATGGCCGTGAACCAACCCAAGACAGCACGCCTGCACATTTTGCCATCTATACGTTCGTGTGACCCTGAGGTAGGAGACGGAGCCTGTGCCTCCTGGATCAAGGCGGTTTCCCCTCTTCACGTGGCATCACCCCAGCATGCAGAACATGACCCTCGCGTGAAAGGAAGTATGTGGCCTGAGCTGCAGGAAAGGTCCGCTTGTCTTTGGGCAGCCATGTTTTACTGGCCAAAAGAACACTTCCATAGGTAAATACACGATTCTCACCCAAACTGCGTTTCTTAATCAATAGTTTGCACCTGCCTTGCTCTGGATTAACCTAAATGTAACTGCAGAGCTACTGTACAAAGTGACAGACGCTGTTACGGCAAACATCCCTGCTGGAGCACTGAAGCAGAGTGGCCACCTGCAGGCATTCAGTCGGCCGTCTCAACACTGCACTCACCACGCCTAGTCAACCCGACCCCACGGTCAGCAGACAGCTGGCAGACTTGCTCAGCCCCAAGTGTAAGGCCCTTAAATGATTTATTGCTTAGGGCATCTCATGTTTCCTTCAAATATATCCACTACATTCAGCAATGGGAACAAAATTTAAAGCTACTGCCTGCATATATAAATAACATAAAATGTTCTCAACAAATTTCTGAGAGGGCTAAAATTAGAAACTATCATACTTACAAAAAAAAAGGAAAGGACACAACCCCTTTCAGTTAACCATGTAAAGTGCTGCCTCTGAAAGGACACATACTAAAGGGAACTCTCCACCCAGGCAGGCTATTTTGCAACAACTGTTTATTTCCTATTTGTGTTGGGAAAACTATTTTAAAAATGTGACTGAGATTTCTTTTGCAAAGTTCTGCTTCAATAACGAAGTGTTCCAGGGCCCAGGAATGATGGCTTACCAAACAGAAACCAGCTTTCTCACCTTAAAACTGCTGGATATATGTCAACATGGACGGGACAGAGTATTGCCTGATAAGTACACCCTCCTCTCAGACTTACCTTCCCAATTGGCAGCAAATAGAACAGAGCCTGAACAAAAAACCAGAGCAGGTAGATCCCAAACACCCTGGTTTCCCATAAAGCATCCAACGCTGGCAGAGGAGGAGGGAAGTTCAGCAGACTGGGCTCATCCTGTTTACACATCAGCAACAGCAGGAAGAGGAAGACAGGCAGGCCGATCATGATGAAGAACGCACCTGCAGCAGTAAGTGAACATCCAAGACTCAACAGCAATCCAGAGTGCTTACTCAGCAAAACATCCTTCAGACACTTTTCCCTAAGGTTGGAGCAGCTCCGGAACCTCAGGCCTGGCTGCCTGGCTGCCTGGCTGCCTGGCTGCACCATCGGAGGTTCCTCACCTCTACCCATCAGCTACCATGGGCCGGCACCCAGGACCAACATCAGAGGAGCAGAGGCGGCTGGATCCTCTTCAGAACCCAGACTCTGAAACATTTCACCACCGACTCCCTGAGGAGCAGGCGGGCTCAAACATCAGCAAACTGAAGATCCAACCATCTGGAAGGCATCAGTGTGATCTCAATGGGAAAGGTCCTATCCCTCAGTTCCTAACAATTAAAACAGCATCACAGGGCCTGGTGTTGTAGCCTAGTGGCTAAAGTCCTCGCCTTGTACATGCTGGGCACCAGTTCTAATCCTGGCGGCCTCGCTTCTCATCCAGCTCCCTGCTTGTGGCCTGGGAAGGCAGTGGAGGCTGGCCTAAGACCTTGGGACCCTGCACCCACATGTGAGACCTGGAAGAAGCTCCTGGCTCGCAGCTTCAGATTGGCTCAGCACCAGCCGTTGTAGCTACTCGAGCAGTGAATCAGCAGATGGAAGATCTTCCTCTCTGTCTCTCCTCCTGTTTATCTGCCTTTCATTAAAATAATCTTAAAAAAACAAAAACAGCATCATATCCACCTAAGTACATAGAGGCCTTAAGTGACACTGGATACTACCACTAACAGACTAGCTAGCTGGGATCACATAATACAAAGCAGTGAAACCTGGTGGGGATCTTGAGCCATTTGGCTAAAATTAATTTCAATGGACAATTATAACACTGTCTCAGTTCCTCCACCCAATCTCTCTGATCTGTCCAGCAAACCCTATGACCCATTTTGTCCCTGTAGCTTATCCCAACTGCTGCCAAAGCAGGCCCTGCCGCCTCAGGTCTGGGTATTGACGGAGCTCCATGACCCCCTCTGACAAACTTCCAGATCAACCTTCCCTTATCATTCCTCTGTTCTTCTCCGATTGTCAAGATGTTTCAAAGACAGTCACTTCCATTTCACGATGACCCTGTAAATGCTCCCTGGGCAGCTTCCATCCCTGTGTGTCCCCTCTGGAGGCCCTAGCCCTGGCCCTGCCTGTGCCAGCCTTGCACCTGGGCACAGGCACCTTTCCAGTGTACCCTGCAGCTGGTGTAGCTAACCCAGTTCTGGTACCTACCAGGGGCTCCTCCAAACTCCTGGTCCTCCCTCTGGGCGGGGCTCATTTCAACGGTCCTCATCAGAGCAGGTCTTTTTGTGACAACTTCCTCCTCCTTAAAATCTGCTTCTTTTACTTTGATCTCTTCTTTTCTAGGACGAAGGCTATACTGTGTAGATATGTAACTGCTTTCTTGTGGCAAATGGAATTTTTCCTAATTAAAAAAATAAAGGACATTAAATATCTCATCAACAATTACCACTGTTATATTGACTAATGCACAGTATCAGTATCTAAGAATAAGCCTATGAAGTTCATCCAGTCTTAAGGACAGAATTTCAGAGCAGATCATAAAACACGAGGATTTTCAGTGTGCTGCTGGCGTGAAGGCAGGCGGATGTCGGACTCTTGTACCTGCATGATCTTGGGGGGTAGGTCATTCTTCTCCACAGTCTTCTCCACGTGCTCTGGTTCCCCATTGTATCTGCTGATACTATTTCCAAAAGACTTCTACATGGAAACACACAAAACATTTAATCAAAGGAACTCTTATGACAAAAGAGTACGATGGTAAAAATTCACCACTGCAAAAATACAGCAAAGATTTCTCCCAGCCCTATCTCTGAAATTCAGCCCCCTCCTGTTAAAAATGAGCGAAAATAAAGCTAACTAGAATTTTTCAGTCTTCAAAATCCTGGGTCTTACGATACTGCTTTATTGCATAAGCTCTTGCATCTTCCAAATGTAACCAGAATGCTATCATTTCATTGACAGCTTGATGCTCCAATCATATCTGCTGAGAGGCAAATGAAGTATCCTGCATCCATTAAGTCATTTCAGCTTAGCTCGCTCTGCCACAGCACCCACCCTTGCTCAGAAAACAGAAAAACACACTCACTGTCTTCTGAATTTCATGCTACCTTGTATTCATTTAGCTTTAAGTTTTCTGTTTAATTTTTCATGACTCAATTCACCCGACAACAACAGATAAGTTATTGAAGTTGCAAAAGATTTTTCAAACTAAGCCTGACTGAAATCTGTAACTCTGCTCCTTTTCAAATCACTAAGTATAACACTAATAAACTAATAGGAAGACCACAAATTTAATATGTATGTATATCCTTCGGGAGGAGAGCATGAACACAGCAAGTATATCAAGGGGAAAATCACCGTTCGCAATCCCACGGGGTGACAGGTCACGTCCTGACTGCTCCGCTCGCTACGCAGCTCCCTGCTAACAGCCTGGGAAAGGGAATGCGGCTCAAATGTGTGGACCCCTCTCCCAGGTGGGAGCCCCCGAGGGTCACTGCAGCCATCTGCAGGTGAACCAACTCATGGAAGATCCATTTTCATTCTCTCTCTCCCCCAGCTCCCTCTATCCCATTCTGTAGATCCAACTTTCAAATAACTCTTAAAAGAAAAAAAAAGGGGGGGCACCCCACCTCAGGGAAGGCACTTCCCTCTTCTTTCCCCACTCACCTGGTTACTTTGCAAATAAAACTTCTCTGTCTGAAAAAAAAAAGGAAAAAAAAAGGTTCTAGTTCAAATCAAGGTCTGAACAGTGATAAAATTCAATATACATCTGGGGCCGGTATGACAGTTCGATTGCCTAATCCTCTACCTATAGGCACTGGCATCCCATCGGAGTGCCAGTTTGAGTCGAGGCTACTTTTTTCCCATCCAGTCCCCTGCTTGTGGCTTGGTAAAGCAAAAGATGGTCCACAGCCTTGGGACCCTGCACCCACATAGGAGACTTGGAAGAGATTCCTGGCTTCAGATCAAAATGGATCACCTCAGCTGTGGCCTTTGCGGCTATTTGGGGAGTGAACCAGCAGATGGAAGATCAATTTCTCTCTCCTCTTTGTAAATCTACCTTTCCAACAAAAATCTTTAAAAAAAATTCAATGTACACCTAAGTTTATTAAAGTGCCAGTGAGACCCTTCACAGCACCAAGAAGATTGGCCAAAGCTCTGCTTCACTTCCCAGGTGTCTTTTGTTAAGCTGCATTTATTTTTATGGGAAAGGCAAATATACAGAGAGGCGAGAGAAAAAGCCTACATCCACTGGTTTACTTCCCAAATGCCCACAACAGCCAGAGCTGAGCCTATCCAAAGCCAGGAGCCAGGAGCGCCTCCAGGTCCCTTATGCAGGCACAGGATCCTAACGCTTTGGGCCATCCTCAGCTGCTTTCCCAAGCTACAGGCAGAGAGTTAAGTTGAAAGAGAGCAACCAGGACACCAACTGTCGCTCACATGGAACACCGGCGCATACAAAGTAAGAATTTAACCACTGAACCATCATCCCAGGCCCTACTTCTCAGTTTTTCTGATGTTTAACTATAACCTGTAGTGACCCCAAAGGCATTACAAGGACACAGCTGGTTGACCAAACCTACTTAACACCCAGTTCTCTTAACTAAACTAATGGGTAACAGGAAAATTAACTTGGGCAGTGTTTGTCAGAAATCATAACTAGGAGTCAAAACTAGTGACAATGCTGCTTGTAGGGGCCTTTCACACAGCACAGGGTAGACCCAGGGTTCCGCTGGTGGCAGGCAAAGCCAACCTGGAGCTCCTGTGTCGCCAGGGCCTGAGAGACTAGAGTAAAAAGTCCTAAACCAAGGGGTTACAGAAAACCCCAAGCACAGCTTCCTGACCTGCCCAGGAAGGACACCGATAAGCAGTCAGGATGGCCAAATTCAACGGGTGCTACTCAAAATGCACATTAGAAGACTGGATTAAAAATCCTTGACAATCACACTGGTCAAAAAAAAATTACTGAAATACTCAAAATGAGAAAATGGGCACTCACACTCTACTGCTACTGCGATAAACCTTCTTGGAGCAATTCAGCAATGCATACATGGGCACCCCCCAAAAATTTGAAAAATGTTTATCATCTTTTCATTTTTATAAACTTTTGAAGTGCCTTCATACTAAAAGCCTCAAATCCACAGTAAACAAATGACCCAGCAGTTCTACTTACAAGGATTTACCCTGAGTTTATTATCAGATGTTGCATAAAATTCTTGTTCACAATAGTGACACTAAATGTCTATCAGGGGCCCGGCCTAGTGGCCTAGCGGCTAAAGTCCTCGCCTTGATTGCGCCTGGGATCCCATACAGGCACCGGTTCTAATCCCGGCAGCTCCACTTCCCTTCCAGCTCCCTGCTTTTGGCCTGGGAAAGCAGTCGAGGTCGGCCCAAAGCCTTGGGACCCTGCACCCATGTGGGAGACCCAGAAGAAGCTCCTGGCTTCAGATCAGCACAGCACCAGCCACTGTGGTCACTTGGGGAGTGAATTATTGGACGGAAGATCTTCCTCTCTGTCTCTCCTTCTCTCTGTATATCTGACTTTGCAATAAAAATAAATCTTAAAAAAATGTCTATCAGAAAGAGGTGGTGGCCAGAGTTGCAGCACAGCAACTTAAGCCCCCATCAGTGTCTGTTCAAATCCGGCTGCTCTGCTTCCAACCTGCTCCCTGTCAATGCACCTGGGAAGGCAGCAGCAGAGGATCCAAGTACCTGGAGCCCTACCACCTGCGTATGGGACCCACACAGAGCTCCTAGTTCCCAGATTCCACCTGGTCCAGACCAATCACTGCTACTCTTTGCGGAGTGAACCACTGGATTGAAGATTTCTTTCTCTGACTCTATTTTACTCTGCCTTTCAAATAAAATGTTAGGAAAAAAAAGCTTCTATGGTTATTAAAAGTTAAGTGAATGGGATAAAAGATGCCTTTTGGGGGGCCTGGTGTGATGGCTCAGTGGCAAAATCACCACCTCGTATGCTCCAGGATCCCATTTGGACACCGGTTTGTCCCAGAGACCCGCTTCTCATCCAGCTCCCTGCATGTGGCCTGGGAAGGCAGTAGGAGACAGCCAAAGGCCTTGGGACCCCTCACTCACATGGGAGACCTGGAAGAAGCTGGCTCCTGGCTATGCAGCAGCTCAGTTCCAGTTGTTGCAGCCACTTGGAGTGAACTGGCAGATGAAGACCTTTCTCTCTGTAAATATGCCTTTCCACTAAAAATAAGCAAATCTTTAAGAAAAAAAGGGGGGCGGAGAATAAGATATATCCCATCCACTGGTTCACTCAACCCCAATGGCCATGGCTGGTCTAGGCTGAAGCCAGGAGACTCACCCGAGGCTCCCATGTGATTGCAGAGGCCCAAGGACTTAGACCATAGTTTTCTGCTTTTTCATGCACATGAGCAGGGAACTAGCTTAGAAGTAGAGCAGCCAGGATTTGAACCAGTATCAATATGGAATGCCAGCATCACAATCAGATTAATTCACTATGCCACAACACTGGTCCCATATCCTAACTTTTACATTTTCTTTACTATGCTATAGACTCAGTTTACAGGCTCATATACTTTGGAAATCCCAACCAAGCCCTGTGGAAGTAATTTAATGCATACTACCGAAGGAAAGTGATCAAGCATAATGGTATTAAGAAAACAAGAACATGCTTCTATGGCAGCTACAGCTCATCATTTCAAACTTCCTTGTGACACTGTAAAAACACAGTTCAACATATAGCCCATGTCTATTTCAAATTTAAACACTTGTTCCTTAAAAACCACAATATCAAACAGCACTTCTGATAACTTAGGCACCCTTTTTCACTTATTTAAAAGACTATAATTGCTGTGTGAAATATGTTTTCCATAACCTTCCAAAGTCTTTACCTTAAATTTGATATTTTACCAGCATTATATTAATGACAAATCAATTTGAGGAAATATTACATAATCAACACTTCTCAGACAGAACAAACACTGTGTAAGAGTAAAGGCAAGTACCAACACCAGTGGAGTCAATTTAACTTCCAATATTTCCCTCCGGGTTTCCTTTATGTCAGGCTGGTGTGAAGCAGAGGCAGATCTTCGGGAATTCCTAGGTAGCCGACCAGGGGACCGAGACCGTGACCGTGACCTTGACTGACTTCCTCGACTCCCTCTGCTCGCCCGACGTCTGGAGGGAGAACTGGACGTTGAGCCACTTTTCCTTTGTTTAAAGGAAGCTAAAGGCTGGAAGAGGGAGAGGAAGGAACACAAATGATCATCCTCAGACAGACTCGAACCAGTGGAGAATTACAAAGGTACTAACTGCTGCCACGGACGCTCACCCGTCAGGGCCATCGCAGGACCTGAGGCTGGCCCGGGAGAGACCAGGGAAATCCACTGCGGCCATAGCCCAGCTCTCCTAGGACAGAGATGCAGCCTTTTCGCTCCCCACTGTTCCCTGCAAGTGTTTCTGCAGAATTACTGTGTCAGCTCCATTAGTATATGCACACGTCCAACAGTGTTTACAGGCAGGGTTAAAATTAACACTGATGAAAACTGACATGTTAGAAAAAAAGAAATTAGAACACAACTAATCAGAAAAATTCATCCCACACCTGCACTCTGAACAAAACCTGCTAGCAGGTGTTGAAAACAGAGTGCAGGTTCGGTTTATACAGCAGCATCTGCCCCACCCCAAGCACTCCTGTCGCTGCTTCTCAGGACCTAGATCTGCAGAAGGCAAAGTGTGGTCCAGGCCAGTCCTGCTGGATGTAGCCCTGGAGCTAGAGCTGCTTTTCATTTCTTAAGTGATCACAAACCAAAAAAAAAAAAAAAAAGAGAGAGAGAGAGAAAGGGAGAGAAATCTCCTGATACACGAAATTCAGATTGCAGGGCAGAATATGTGTGGCCTGGCCAAGCAGACAGGGCTGACAGTCTGCCCACTGCCAGACCCCAGTTCAGAGCACACAGAATAGGATGTGACAACTGCTGGTGACTGGATTGCAGTAAGAATCAAGGCTGGTAACAGGTGGTCAAAAACTGTTTCAGCATTTTGACAACCGTGTCTGTTGAAGGTAATGATAAAAATGTGTGGCTTTTATTGAGTATGTCTTCTTTTTCACAGTTTGATTAACCAAAGCCATGGGCTGGACTCAATAGCTATTCAATGTCACTCTCCTGATGAAACCCAAACCCTTTGACAGGAAAGGCAAGCCCCTGCCAGTGCAGCCCCGACCGTCACTCCCTCCCAGCGCCTGGCTGGCCTGTGTGGAATGCTGCCTCTCCGTAGAAGCCCTCCCAACAGCTGAGTCTCTCCTCAGCCCTCAGCACGGGCATCAGGGCCCCTAAGTCCCGGCCCTTCATTCTCCAAGATGTGTTCTATCCCACCCATGGCCAGCTCCCTCAGGAAGTACATGCAGCCCAATGGAAACTCCGACCTTCCCCAGGAACAGTACATCTTGGGCTTCATAAGCCCAGGCCCTGCATGCACTCCCAGGGCCCACAGCAGTATGTGACCGTGGCAAGAACTTGACCCCAAGCACGCTGGCCTTAGCAAGCACACCATTCAGGGAAACCAAAGAAGTTCTTACCTTGATGTCACTCTCCTTCAGTTCCAGCTCAGTTCCATCTTTGTATTTTACAGTGTAGAGCTGAGATTTGCCATCATAGCTCAGAATCTCTACTTTATAATAAAGTGAACTCCCCGGCCACCGACCTCTTACCACTTCACCGTCAGCAAACTTCCTACTCGGCATTTTCTGAAATTAGTCTGAGTAATTAAGAACAAAAATTGAATTAGTATATGCACACTATTTTTTTCAAAGACCGATCTGTGCACTTCAACTTTCCACAATTTCTTAATAAATAACCAAATGTAAGGAAGACTTCTGGAGGAAAGCATGTACAAATCACTCTAAACATGAAAAGCTGGGGCTGGTATGCTAGCACAGCAAACTAATCCTCTGCCTGCTAGGCCAGCATCCCATGTAGGTTGTTCAAGTTCCAGCTGTTCCACTTATGGCCCAGGAAAGCTGCAGAGGACGGCCCAGGATGTTGGGCCTCTGCACCCACATGGGAGACGCACAAGAGGATCCCGGCTTCCACAGACTGGCCACTGTGGCCACTTGGGAGTGAGCCAGCAAATGGAACCTCTGTCTATCCCTCCCTCTGATTTTCCAAAGAAAATAAATAAATTTAAAAAAAAAGAAGAAGAAGAAAAAAGATAAGAGGACCCAGTGTAATAGCCTAGTGGATAAATTCTTGCCTTGCATCTGCCAGAATCCCATATGGGCACTGCTTCGTGTCCCAGATGCCCCATTTCCCATCCAGCTTCCTGCTTGTGGCCTGGGAAAGCAGTAAAGGATGGCCCAAAGCCTTGGACCCTGTACCACGTGGGAGACCCGGAAGAAGCTCTGGCTGTTGTGGCCACTTGGGGAGTGAACCAATGGACAGATGATCTCTCTGTAAATCTGCCTTTCCAATAAAAAAACTAATCTTTAAAAAAAAAACACTGAAGTTTAAGGGTTAACAAAAATAGATGAAATGAAGAATATATAAGATGTTCTTTCTGACACATTGTATTCCATTTGGAATCACTTTATATAAAGGATGATTTCATTGATATGGCATTAAACATTAATTGTGCAGATTCACTAATGCCAGAATGCCACCCACCTACAGACACCATATTTCCTGCTAATCAAAAAGGCACAATCTCACAAGACATGTTCTGATTTGTATGATTGTGTATTGTTTTACAAAGTTTTTTTAAAGATTTATTTTTATTGGGAAGGTAGATCTACAGAGAAGAGACAGATCTTCTGTCCGCTGATTTACTCCCTAAGGAGCCACGACAGCTGGAGCTGAGCTGATCCAAAGCCAGAAGCCAGGAGCTTCTTCTGGGTCTCCCATGTGGGTGCAGGATCCCAAGGCTTTGGGCCATCCTTGACTGCTTTTCCCAGGCCACAAGCAGGGAACTGGATGGGAAATGGAGCAGCCGGGACACAAACTGGCACCCATATGGGATCCTGGTGCTTGCAAGGCAAAGGTTTTAGCCACTTAGCTACTGCACTAAACCCTACAAAGGTTCTTTAAATACATTTAATTACATTCTTAACAAATTACTTCTATTGAAAACAGACTATGAAACAGACTAAAAACAGAATGCACAGCTAATATTCCAGTAATACAAGAAAAATAAGTAAATTTAGAATGAACAGCAAATTTGAGCATTTTAAATTAGAGCCAAACCCCTAACGTATACTAAATAACTGCCGACCACCCACCTAGACCAGCACCACTTGGACTTCATCCAAGCTCACCTCTCTCAGGCCTAGAGCAGACGCGGACCCCAATTATAACATTCTTTCCCACTGACTCAAGATCTGGCTCAGGCAGTCTTAAGACATACAAACCTCCAAGACGCCTCCAACTAATCTGCAAGAACTGTCCCTTCCTCGAGGCCTGCGGGACTCCCGGGACTCCCGGGATCGTCAGCTCATGGCTAGGTGCTCCCAGTTCCTGGGCGGGCCAGGCTTCTCTCTTGGCCAACAAGCAAGTTCACAACCCTCACCTATGACCCTTCACCTCCAAACCAAAGGGCCAAGCAGCTGACTGCTACCTCTTAACAATCTACTTCTCAGCATGTGGTCCGAGCGCACAGAAACACATACCTCACTCACTCCTGCCTGATTCTCCTACAATAACAACATGAAAGGCCTCCCAAGTCCTCTAGGAACTAGACCTGCCCCTCCTGGGAAAGTCTGAACACCACCTTCCTTCACTGCTAATCACCTGAGAAGCAACTTAACAAGCTTCACTTGCTGAGATGGGCTTTCAGATAGACTGTAGATTAAAGAAAATTCAAGCACTTATCTGGTGGTTAGGAGATGTCAGTCACCTTACACATTAGGCAAGAGCCCGACTTCTTCCCAAACCCGCGATAGCATCAGCGGGTAATGCATGGGTGCAGGCCTGGCGTATGAGCTCAGGCCTGCAGGAGGCGTCACTGCAGGAGCACCTGGGCAGCAAGGGGGCAGGGGACACCTCTGGACAGGAAGGAGGGGCACAAAAAGGGAAGGTGACAACAGCCAGCATGATGCATTTCAACATTTAACCTCAAGCCTCCAAAGACAAAGAAAGAGGAAGGAAACGCGTTGCACTTCTCTCTTCTCTTGTGCCCCCTTGTCCTGCCGGACCCCCCAAAAATCAAACCACTGTTATTACTTCTGGTTCTGCATCGGGGTTTGAAGAAAGCCACTTCTACCGTGAAGCCCTGGGGGTTACCCGTAAAGGCCCCGGAATAGATGTTTTCTGGACCTTCACGACACACACACCCATTGGCACCCTAGCCTGGCACACCCACCCCACTCTATGAACAGTGCACGGCAGAACACAGGTCAGTGCCAGTGACTTGTCCGTCAAATTCAGCCATCCGGTGGACGCATGCTCCATCTCTGAGCCTGGTTTTTTAACACTGTACTTGGGACTTGATAGTGATCTTTCCCGACAGTTGAAAAACAAAGAAACAAACCAGCTTCTTCCTTCGGAGATACTATCTCACATACGCACACATGTTCCAAAAGACGAAGCCAGCAACACAAGCGCACCCCCCATTCTGCACCAGCGCCACGCGCAACCGTGGAAGGGCGGGGATACGGCGCAATCACATCCCAACAGGATCTCCTGCGGGCGCCAGGGCAAGCATACCGGGCGGGAGACACCTGTGCGTGTCGCTAGGTGCTCGCTGGCAATGACAGGATTTCCTTAGAAAGGATGTGTTCGCTCTACGCACTCAAAAAACTTCCTGAGCTGAGTCCTCAAGAAGAGCAGCCACCACCAGCCAGTCGCTTTCGTGCTTCCGTGGCAACCGGCCCCGGAATCCAATCTCGAGTTACAATACGTTACTATTTATCAACCCGACCGGACTCCCCGGCGGCCTTGCCCTGCCGTGCACCATGAGTGGATGGTCGGAGACCATCAGCAGCTCAGGTGCAGGTGAACAGCTTCCCTTCAACACCTGGGCCCACCTGCCCGGAGAACGCACGAACCATCCAAGCATCGCTCGCTCGCTCGCTCGCTCCCTGTGCAGCCGGCAGCACGCGCAGAGAGGAATGCCACCGCTCGGTCCCCTAGTCCCCAGATGGCTCTCACCCGCTCAACTGGCACCGGAGTTGCCGCCAAGGCTCAAAAGCAAGGTCCCTCCCTCCCAGAGCAGTTAACCAGTGAGCAACCCCCGCCCACGCGTGTTTCCGCGCCAGGCCCTCGCGCCTCTGCCCCGGGCCGTCCACTCGCGTGTCCATTAAGTCCCTTTCCCCAGCATCGCCAGACGACACGGCGCTCAGGCAGACAGCTTGGGACCCAGCCCTGCGTTATCAAGTGACTCTGGAGGCTGCGCGAGGCGCGAAGTAAGCTGTCATTTTGGAAAAAAAAAAAAATTTGTTTTGTTTTTACCTTAAAAGGGGGACCGGGGAGGGGGAAGCAGCTCGTGTCGCAGCAGACTAATTGCTACCGGTCCAAAAGTGCGTGGGGTTTCTCTTTTTGCTTTTTGATTGGTTGGTTATTTTTTTTGAGACGACCGGGGCCAGAGCCAAGGAAAGGCCGGACCCGTGCAGCGACCCAGTCCGCAGCCACGAGCTGCAGCGTCCGGCACCCGGCGCTCGGCGACCGGACAAAGGCGCCCGCCGCCGCGCGCCTCCAACATGGAGGGAAACGTCCGCAGTTCGAAACCCGCCGCCCCATTTCCGCAGCGGGCCGGCCGCCGCCCCAGACACGGCGGGCGAGGAGGGAAAGAGGCGGGGAAGGCGAGGCCGCCGCGCCAGGCCCTGCGCCCGAGGACCCCGGTCCCCGCCTCGCCCGCCCCTACTTCCCCCTCTCCCTCTCCCTTCCCCTCACCCCCACGCTGCCCCCTCGGAGGCCCCGCCGCGCCAGGGGGAGCGGAGAGCGGGGTGGCGGGGCGGAGCAGGGGGGCTCACCTGCGCCGGGCTCCGGCGAGAACTCACACCGAGGCGGGAGCGTCGCGCAGCAGCACCTCCGCGGCCGTTCCGCGCGCACGTCGCTGTCGGCCACGCTCGCGCGCCGCCCGCGGTCCCGTGGCCCGGGCGCGCGCACACCCGGCCCTGGGACCGCCCCCTCGGGGCGGCCCGACGCTCCCATTGGCTCCCTCGGCGTTTTGAATCGTCCCAGGAGCTGGCGATTGGTCACGCGACGTGGCGCGTCCGCGGCTCCGGCCCCGCCCCTCCCCGCCCCGCGGGGAGGCCAGGGAGTCCCGGGACGACTCCCGGGGAGGCGGGGAAGGGAGCGGAGCGGGCCGGTCGGCGCCTAATGCCGCCCGCGGAGGCCCGGCGTGGCCGGGCCTTATCTCAGCCGCCCAGGCGCCCGCGCAGCCCACCGGCCGCGCCGTTGCTCGCGTTTTCTCTCCAGGCGAGACGCCAGAGAGGGTTTGAGGTGGCAAGGCGGCTTGTCCAAAGAGCTGAAAAAAAAGAAAAAGAGGCTTCTACGAAAACAGTTCGCTCGGCCTGAGGCGAAGGCGCTTCTGGTGACAATAGCTTCAAGGTTCTCGATCCGCGGCAGGAGGCCCTGGACGAGACCGCAGCTCCCGCGTGGACCCCGGCGACCAAAGTGTGCGGAAGGGCCCGACGCCCCACGGGGAGTTGTTTGGGAAAGGAGTTGTTTGCAAGGGAAAGTCCTGTCAGGAAACTGTGTAAAGTACGCTGCGGGAGGCTGGCGAGGCCGAATGGGCACCTGCTGGGCACTGAGTCCCTGCGGATCCTCCACCCTCTTTTTGACCCCCGTGGCAAGTTATCATTGGTTAGCTGGCTTCCTTCCTTTTGAGGTCGAGAGTTTAAAACAGTTCGCCTGGCTTCCCTATTTTGCAATGTGGTTTTTAATCAAAGTCTCTCTGAACGCCTTCACCGCGTACATTTCAGTGAATTTCCTGCGTGGGAAGCGCCGTCTGTGAAACGGCGGGCACCAGTGGGCCAGCTCGAGGCCAGGCTGGCACAGGCCTGGGCAGCTCGGAAACAGCACTGAGCGTTCTCGGCGTTTCCTGCTGCCCAGGCCATGAGCTGGGGAACCGTACCCTCCCACACCCACCCGCGTAAGCCTATCTGCCCGCCTGTCAATCAAGCAGCCTCCTTTCCGGGAGGCTCTCACTGGGGACCTGGCTTGGGCACAACCATGTAAGCACGCCCCTCCCGACCTTGTATAAGTGGCCGGCGAGTGGGCGAGGTGTGCTTGCCAGCAGGACCCTGACTGGGAGTCGCTGAGACTTCACGCTTTCTCTCACACTTCGTGCACAGTAGAGGAGCCCATACTTACAAGGCAAGGACCTGAAATAACGGGGGATTCTCCCCTTTTCTCCCTCTTAGCACTCCTGATCTCAAATGGCCACCACTGTCACAGAATTCGCTCTGGATGGAAATCAGAGCTTACAGAAACGCACCTTACACTCGGAAGGCAGGTATAACAGCACTGCTTTCACAGAATTTTGCAATGAGTGACACAGAAATGAAAGTGCTACATCACATCTCCGGGGACCTGAGAACCAAAAAGAACTGTTACTCTTTCCTCATAAGTTATGCACAACCAAGAACCAGTGGATGGAAGTTCTGTCTCGCTCCTTAACTCTGCCTTTAAAGGAAAATTATTTTTTTATTGAAGGGCAGATTTATAGAAAGGAGAGACAGATCATCCATCCACTGGTTCACTTCCCAAGTGACCGCAATGACCAGAGCTGAGCTGATCCAAATCCAGGAGCCAGCAACTTCCTCCAGGTCTCCCACAGGGGTGCAGGGTCCCAAAGTTTTGGGCCGTCCTCACTGCTTTCCCAGACCACAAGCTGGATGGGAAGTGGAGCAGCTGGGCCTGGAACCAACGCCCATATAGGATCTTGGCAGATGCAAGACAAGGATTTAACCACTAGGCTATTGCACCAGGCCCGTAACTTTGCCTTTAAAATAATTGCTTAAGAGAAAGTCTTTAGTAGATAATGTGTAGCATATAATGGTAACTAAGCTGCCTCTAGTAAGTTACAGTCTTATGACCTTTATTTTGTGAAGACAAGACTTTATAAACTTGACCTTTAAAATGAAAAGTTATTTTAAGTAAATTTTGTGGTCTTTTTAGATTTATTTATTTTTATTTAAGAGGCAGATTTACAGAAAAGGAGAGACAAGGAACTTCCATCTGCTGGTTCATTCCCCAAATGGCCACAATGACCAGAGCTGAGCTGATCCAAAGCCAGAAGTTCTCTCTAGGCCTCCCATGCAGGTGCAGGGTCCCAAGGTTTTGGGCCGTCCTTGGCAGCTTTCCCAGGGGATGGGGAAGTGGAGCCACAGGGACATGAACTGGCGCCCATATGGGATCCCAGCCCATACAAGGCGAGGATTTCAGTTATTGAGCTATCCTGCTCGGCCTGAGTTTTTGTTTTGTTTCGCTTTTTGAAAAATGAATCTTTTATTTCTTTTATGATTCAGGCCCTTTAGGAAATCCCAGAGTCTCCATCAGTGCCAGTATAGGATGCCAGCTTGTTGACCCCCTACTAAAGACAATTTTTAAGCCAACTTCCGGGACCCTAACTCTGTGGCATATCAAGTAAAGGCGCTGCCTACAGCAGCATCCCAGATGGGTGCTGGTTGCTCCACTTCTAATCCAGCTCCCTGCTAACATCTGGGAAAAGCACAAAAAAATGGTCTAAGACCTGGATGAAGCTCCTGGCTCCTGGCTTTGGACTGGCCCAACTCCAGCTATTATAGCCATTTGGGGAGTAAACCAGCAGATGGATAAACATCTCTGTCTCTCCCTCTTCCTCTCTGTAGCTCTACTTTCTGAAAAAAAATAAATAAATCTTAAAGAAAAAGCTGGGACCTGATGGAATGGCTCAATTGGCTAATCCTCCCCCCTGCAAGCACTGGGATCTCATACAGAAGTTAGTTCATGTCCCAGCTACTCCACTTCCCACCCAGCTCCCTGCTTGTGGGCTGGGAAAACAATTGAAGACAGCCCAAAGCCTTGGGACTCTGCACCCACGAGGGAAGAAGCCCCTAACTCTTGGCTTCAGATCAGTTCAGCTCTGGTCATTGCATCTACTTGGGGAGTGAACCAGCAGGTGGAAGAGCTTTCTGTCTCTTCTCTCTATAAATTCGCCCTCAGAGAAAACAGTAATTATTGTCATTTCTAGTGAGTGCAATGAAGTACACTGTAAAGTCTCACAAACATTGAAGCCAGTCTCAATTACAGGGACTGTTAGTATTTTTCTCTTCTTCTTTCAAAGGTGGCTAAAAATGATGTCAAATTCGAGGTGGAGAATTTTCAGGTTTCATTCTCACAAAGATGTTTTTCAACCACAATTAGCAAGTTGTGAATTTTCAGTTTGTAAAGAAAGGAAAGGTTGCCTTAAGGTCCATGTCTTGAGCCCCGCTGCTGGTCAGATGGCACAAGACCCCTCCTCCATTTACAGGAGAAGGGGAGAGAAGGAAAAGACGTAGACCCATGCCAGGGGAGCAGCCAAGAAACGCCCGTGGACCCAGGAAACCTCCACGCACCCGGTGGTTTGTGTTCCAGGCTGACGATACTCCGCTGTGCTCCTCTCCTGTCCTGCCAGACTGAAGTGTGTTGGCAAGCCTCTCCCGTTGCAGCCCGCTGATACTGCTTTATGAAGACTAAACCACACCTGGGAAGCCGAGCAAGCTTCAGTCGAGAAGGAAGAGAAGCCCGTGGGCGGTATATAAGAACACACACATCTGCCAACGCTTGATCTCACTGAGACAGGGCACTAACCATCCCATCATGCTACCTGCTCAGCAGCAGCTCTTCAGTTTTTATTTGAAACTTCCACATATCTGCCTATTTACTTACAGTGTGAGTCCCTCTTTTATTTGTTTGTTTGTTTGTTTGTTTGTTTTACTTATTATCTATTTGAAAGGCAGAATAAGTGAGAGACAGGGAGAAAGAGACCTTCCATCAGCTGGTTCACTCTGCAAATGGCCACAACTGCTGGGACTAGTCAAAGCCAAAGCCAGGAGGTCAGACTTCCATCTGGGTCTCCCCCACGGGTCACAGGGGCCCAAACACTTGAGCCACCTTCCGCTGCTTTTGCAGGCACATTGGCAGGGAGCTGCACCGTGAAGCAAAACAGGTGGAATTCAAACGGGTGCTTTGATCGAGAATGCCAAGTGGTTGCTTGGCAGGCCGTGCCCCAATGCTGCTCCCCGCCGTGTTTCTTCATGCTTAGGTATTTTAAATATGAAGTGTCTGTGATAGGGAAGGGAGAGTTATTCAAGTAGATCACTTCAAGCATCCTGCCACTTCTGCTTCAGTGTAGGGACTTTAAAGATGAGGTGTGTGTCCCCTGGTAATGGCAAAGACGCAGAGGATCTAGTGTGATGACACTAACTCACCCTTATTTGTTCAGCTCTTACCTCTGTCAGCTGCTCTTCAAAGCACTTCCTGTGTGTAACTGACTGCTGTCCCTGACAGCTGGCAGAGCTGGGTATACTGTACTGCGGTTGGGAGGCGGGCATCAGGAGCCTGAAATACGGTCTCCAACTCACCCGAGAGAGGCTACACCCTCCAGTGCCTCAGTCTCACAGACCGTTCTGCAAAGGCCTCACTTGGGGGTTGATCAGAAAGGCCAGTTCCCAGACCAACCGAGCCGGGAGCTGCAGGCGTGCCCAGCCATCTTGGTTTTATCAAGCTGTCCGAGGGATAACCAGTGCAAGCTGACTTAAGAATTCCTAGCAGGGCCTGCACAGTGGCACTGAAAGCTAACCTTCCGCCCTGTGCGCCAGCGTCCCATATTGGTGCCCGTTCTAG